TTATTTTAATTTCGACACGTGACAATTATTTTATTATTATTATTATTATTATTATTATTAATCATACTTAAACAAACGTAAGAAATTTAAATAATTAAAATTTTATTCAATAAAACGTGTTTTCGTTTGTTTGTTTGGTTGTCGGTTGGTTGGTTGGTTGGGGTTCGAAAAAAAAAAAAAAATGGAGCAAAACAAGAACGACCGAATGGTGGAATCACATTTGCCAAGTAATTTATATCTATTAGACCAGAAAGAAAAAAAAAAAAAAAAAAAAAAAAAAAAGGTTAGTCGAATGATAATGATAACGAAAGAGACGATGTCTCCGAACGGAACGGTTCGCCATGAAAATTTTGTGTATATATATTAATATTCGCTACTAGGTTTATAATTCTCTCTCTCTCTCTCTCTCTTTCTTTCTTTCTCTCTCTTCTTCTTGAGATTTTCTCGTCGATTGTTTGTCTTCATTTTCCGTCGAAAACGATTTTCCCGTGACATAGTCGCGATCGGATTTTCTTTTTTTTTTTTTTATCAATGCGTGCATAATGGGCATTTTGTCGGGGAGAAAAAAGAAAAAAATGCCAACGCCGTTTAGTTGCCATCGAATATTTATCTTTATTTCTATTATTATTATTATTGTTGTTGTTGTTGGAATTATTATTATTATTATTGTTTTAATTATAGCTTCGTCTGAAATTAATTAATTTCAATTTTAAAAATAAAAATAATAAAGAAAGAAAACGCTGTTGCGTGTGCTTGTTGTTGTTGTTGCTGTCGTTGTTGTCGGTTTTTAATAAATTTTTTGTAATTTCACCTAATGATAGTTTTTTCTTTTTATACTCATTTTATGACGTAATAAAGGGGAATGGGAGGGAAGGGAAGGGAAAAAAAGTAATTTGAATTTTTTAAATTGCCGCATTTGTCAATTAATAAATTTGATTAAATGCGGTTTTTTATTATTTGCGTCTTTGTATTTAAAAGACAAGAAAATTATTTTCGGTTTTTAGTTAATTAATTATTATTATTATTATTAAACGCCGGTCGTTTGTTTTTCTTTTATAACATGTTTGTTTGTCTTTGAGGACAATCGACGTTTTTTTTTTTTTTTCCTTTTTTTTTTGGCAATAATTTGAAGCTTTTTTAAAAGCAATTAATCGTCTGTGAGCCGCCGCCTTCGCATGGGCGGTCAAAGTCATAATTCCCGCAAACTAATAAAATGCCGATAAATTAAATAATAATAATAATAATGATAATAATAATAATAATAATAATAATAATAATAATAATAATAACAATAATTTTATCAACTCTTTATTTTTGATTTTTTTTTGTCTGGGAAATTGGGAAGAAAATTCGTCTTTTATTTTCACAGATTTGGGGAAAATTATTTAAACGTGATTTGGTGGGGTGCTTCCCGTTTGCGATCGTCGCTTATTGTTTTTGTAGCAGAAGATAAAAGTTTTTTTTTTTTGATGGAAAATGAGAGAAAAAGAAATACGCGTGTGTAGTAAGTCTGCGTGCACGTGCGTGTATTTTTTTTTTTTTTGTTTTGAAATACGTCCCAAAATATTT